AGCGGTGAGCAGCTGCCAGTCATGGGGCAGGCTGCAGTGAACGTTCAGTACGGCGGACAGGCTCAGCGACTACCTCTCATCGTAGTCGAAGGTGGCGGGCCCTGGCTGTTCGGCAGGAACTGGCTGGGACACATCAGGCTCGACTGGCCCTCCATCTGTTGAGTGACTGCGGAGACCCGTTTGCAGCCCATCCTGGACGAGTTCGCTGACGTTTCAAGGAGGAGCTGGGCTGCTATCGAGGCGGGGAAGTCGGCATCGACGTAGACCCGGACGTCCAGCCTCGTTTCTTCAAGCCTCGCACCGTACCGCTGGCCTTCAGGGAAGCTGTGGACACCGAGCTGGAGGACCAGATCCGTGGCGGACTCTGGGAACAGGTACGGCACAGCAAATGGGTGGCTCCCTTGGTGGTTGTCCCAAGGCTGGGGGTCAGTCAATACGGGTGTGTGGGGACTACCGCTTGACCGTCAACAGGGCTGCTAAGGCAGAGCAGTATCCCTTGCCGCGTGTGGAGGAACTGTACTCAAAACTGTCGGGATGTACCATATTTTCAAAGATCGACTTGAAAAACGCGTATAATCAGCTTCCGCTAGATGAAAAGGCCCGCGAGTATTTCACGGTAAACACCCCGAGGGGTCTTCTTCGACCCCTTCGGTTGACCTTCGCCTATTCGAGTGCAGTGTCGCTGTTCCAGCGGACGCTGGAAACTGTCCTGGCTGGTATCTCTGGCGTTGGGGTCTTCTTGGACGACATTGTAGTCGCGGGTGTCGATGCCGCTGCGCATGACGAGGCCCTCCGGCAGGTTCTTAGACGGCTGGAGGAAGCGGGTTTTAGGCTCAACAAGGCCAAGTGTAGCTTCAGCGTCAGCAGCGTGACCTATCTGGGGCTTAAGATAAGCAGCCGTGGTGTGGAGACCACCGACGAGAAAACGGCCACGATTGTCCGTGCCCCGGAACCGCGGGATGGTAAGGAACTGCGTAAGTGGCTAGTAATCAACTACTATGGGAAATTCCTTGAGAACCTGGCGAGTGTCTTGGCTCCGCTCTATCGTCTTCTAAAGGCAGATCAGCCCTGGCAGTGGGCTGAGGCAGAGAAGTCTGCTTTTCGGAAAGCCAAAGAGATGCTAGTTAGCCCTCCTGTACTAGCCCATTTTGATCCCGCCCTTCCGGTGGTTCTCGCCTGTGACGCGGGACCGGTCGGCATTGGCTGTGTGTTGAGTCAGCAGACATCACAGGGCGAGCGACCTGTGGCCTACTATTCGCGCGCGTTGAATGACACCGAAACTAGATACTCACAGACTGATAAAGAGGCATTAGCTGTAGTGACCGGCGTTAAGAAATTTCACTATTACCTAGCGGGGCGAACTTTCACTATACAGTCAGATCATAAGCCTCTCATAGGCCTCATAGGAGAGCAGAAACCTTTGCCCGTGATGGCGTCACCTAGGATGATGCTTGGGGCCTACGATTACCACCTTGAGTACCGGCAAGGATCTAAGCAAGGCCACTGTGACGCGCTTAGCAGGCTGCCTTCGTGCGAGAAGGCTTGTTCGAGCGTTCCAATTCCGGCTGAGACTGTCCATTTACTTGAGTTCATCGACTCATCCCCAGTGAATGTGTCCCAGATACAGCGGTGGACCGCTCTGGATCCCGTGTTGTCAGCGGTACATCGATATGTCAGAGATGGCTGGTCGGATGTCAATAGTGTTTCCCTCAGCCCTGATTTTCAGCCGTACAGGTCCCGTATAGGTGAACTGAGTGTGCAGGATGGCTGTGTTTTGTGGGGGTCACGAATCCCGCCGCAGGGACGGGGTGCCATGTTAAAGTTATTACATGAAGGTCATGCTGGCGAGTGTAGAACCAAAATGTTGGCTAAAATGTATGTTTGGTGGCCAAAAATCGATGACGACATTCGTGATATCGTGAAGTGTTGTGTGAAGTGTCAGGAACTGAAGGGCAGGGCCCCTGACGCTCCACTGCATTCTTGGCAGTGGCCGACTCGACCCGGCAGCGAGTCCATGTAGACTATTGCTCGGCTAACGGATAGATGTTTCTGGTGATAGTCGACGCCCACTCCAAATGGATGGACGTCTACCCAACTCGTTCCTCCGACTCACTGATCACGATTGAAAAATTACGAGCGTCGTTTGCGTGCTGGGGAGTGCCAACAGTGCTAGTGACAGACTACGCCCAGTGTTTTGTATCACAGCAATTCAAAACGTTTTGCAGTGTAAATGGGATCAGGCACTTAACGACACCCAGCCTATCACCCAAATCAAACGGCTTAGCCGAAAGAAGCGTGCAAAGCTTCAAAAACGGGCTGTACAAACAGATCTCGGGGTCCATTGAGACCAAGGTCTCTCGATTTCTGTTTAGGTACCGCACAACACCGCAGTTACTACGACCTCATGTACGCCCGCCGAATTATTTCTGGGTCGTGTGCCACGCACTCATTTAGGTGGTGTGCTACCAGATAGGCAGGAGCGTATACGGAGACAGCAGGAGGCTCAAAAGACGTACCGTGATCGAAATGCCCGTGAACGATGTCTGAACCCGGGTGACCCTGTGTATGTGCCTGCTGTCGATAGATTGCAGGGATTGGAGCGTTGTCGGTGGGCGCCCGGTCGTGTAGTGTTCGTAGAGGGAGTTAAGGTCACTGTGGAGCTAAATGACGGAAGGGTGATTGTGCGGCACGCCGACCAGGTTCGTGAGCGATATTCAGCTGTTCCGCATGTCGCTAACGATCCTCTCCGTTCCAGAGTGACACCGATACCTGCTCCTGATCCGGTCACGGAGAGCGCCGCTGCATCTGCACGGCATGCTCCCGTTCCCGGACAACTGGCCTCCACTCCCGACCGGCTGCCGGCTCCTGATCGAGCGCCTGCTCCTGGCCGGCCGCCTGTTCCGGCGCCGCCCGGGCTGACCGGAGCGGTGCCCGCGCCGGGTGTGACCACCGTCCCGCCGTCCGCACCCTCTCCCAGCGCGCCGCGGTACCGGCTGAGAGACCGGTCCACCCTGCAGCCCCCAGACCGATACGTGGCGAGCTATGAGTAGGCGTTTTGTTTCAGTTGTTATTTGTTCTGTGAGGTGCATATTTATTTGTTTGTCCATGCTGTGCAAGTATTCGGGGTGGAGGAGTGTCATGGAGCTGAGCTGGCGGCCGCCGCGCCGGTGCACGCGTACTTGCGCTCGTGACATGCGCTCATGACACTCGTATGTGAACCGTGGTGGCGTTGCCTCTGTGACCCGGGGGCTACCTGGCCGGCTCGAATACAGTTTGGACCGAGACACCGTCTGTGATAATATGCATTCATCCAATTTTCCAGCTTCCACATTAAACAAGAAACTGTGCGAGCAGATATGGCGAAAAAATAGATGTCCGGATAATTTCGTTACACCCTGTATGTTCTAGTGCAAACGAATGCTATGATGCTAGGGGAGCGGCTGCAGGCTGGCGTAGCGCGTGCGGCCTTACGGTGGTTGGGTGAACGTGCCGCCTTCTGCTGTGGGGTGGGTGGGTTGGGGGAGGTCCTCCTTGACCCCGTGCCGGCCCCGCCACCTGTGCTGCGCCATCTTTGGGCTGGCGACGGTGTGGAAGCGCGTACCTTCCGTCAGTTTTCCAGGCATCTGAAGTCTGAACTCGGCGCTGGCCCTGTCGTCGATGTCTGCGCGTGAGCCGTGACGGGTGCCACAGCCTGCTGGCACCGGCGGGTACGTGCCGTGTACATGTGGTGCGGACTGCGGCACCGACTTGAACCACTCGAAGCCAACGGAGACCAGCCACCCTCATTCGCTCAGATTTATGTGAACGACCCACGAGCCGAAATACTGATGCCGAGGACCACGCACGCATTGTGGCATCACATAGAGAACACCTATTACATCCGGGAACGACTCCGAACGGCCATTTTCGGGAAATTTACCGTCCGCGGTGAATATTCCTGCAGGAATATGCTCTGAACGTATCAACCGAATTTGATGTTAGTGCCGGACCCGTGGACTCAGAACTGCGTCACTAATGCCTGTTCATAAATGTAGCGCGGCGTGAGCCATCCATGGACTGCGTGTTTCTTTTTTCCAACCAAAGGTAGGCACTATACCTGAAGATGCTTCTTTGTAACCAAACCAAACAAAAACTAACAACCTAACCTAACCTAACTTGATCTAACCTACAGCCTACAAACCTACAACGCGCTAAAAAATTCAGCCGCCGGCGGGATTCGAACCTTCGGTCCTCTGAACACGGGGCGAGTGCACTAACCAACCACTACACCTCGCAGACAGCTGGCCGGATAAAGGTGTTGTAAGTCACTTGACAATGACGCACTGGGATATACTCCGTGTAGCGCCTTCCTTTGATTGGAAAAAAGAATTACGCCCGTGGACTAGCATCTTCAACTCCGTAGCAGTGTCTCCCAATCTGCGGAAAGCTCAGCTGGTCGCATGATAACCGTGGCGAAGTTTTCTGGCTCTGCTTCAACGGCTCCTTCATATTCCCTTCATATCAGCATAAGCCAGATTTAGGCTAACTTGCAATTAAACGATCAAAAATGTTAGCTTAAGTTTCGTTAGGGTAAATTAAACGGTGTTTTATTTGGTTAGGCTAAGCCCGAAAAACGCGTATACATGGTATTGGCAGTCTCATGGCGTTTACGGCATGTCTGTATGTCTATTCTGTGATTTTATATGATTTTTTGAACATATGCCATTTTTGGTCGGAAACTTAGAAATCATGACGTCACTAAAACCTCGATATCTCAAAAATTTTCCGACCGATGTTTTTGAAACTTTGTCACAATAAACTTCAATAAATTCCGTACAGGTACCTAAAATTTGGCGCGCCGGCGCGCCGTTTTTATGCTATGGCCCGGCGAAAAAAAGTGGGGGCGTTTAACGCCCCCCCCCCCAGCAACTCGCGGGTTATCCACCCTTGCTCCTCCCATTCGCCCGTCGCAGAGTCCTGCCCTTCCTCCACTCCCCACCCGCCCCTGAGTCGCCACTCACGTGTATAGTCCTTTTTGGGTAGCCGAGGGGTCTCTGTGCGCGGGGCGGGCAGGTCGTCGCCCGGCTGTTTTCGGTAGGGGGCCGGAGGCCACTTGAGGTCACCGCGCGCCCGCACAGGGACACGCTGGGACATCTGCTGGTCGTTCTGATAGGCCTGTAGCCGGTCAGGGCAGGTCAGCAGGGTCAGTGGGGTCAGGTCAGGTCAGGGCAGGTCAGGGCAGGTCAGTAGGGTCAGACTAGGAGAGTCAGTAGTTCAGACCAGGAGGGTTAGGTCAGGTCAGAGCAGGTCAGGGCAGGTCAGTAGGGTCAGACTAGGAGAGTCAGTAGCTCAGACCAGGAGGGTTAGGCCAGGTCAGGTCTACAAATCTCAATTGAATACCATCTTTTTGGTACACCGATACCAAACCGATACCAACTTGGTATTCGGTAATATAACAATTTTGGTATTTCGTTGGTATTGAGAAACCTTGGTAATGTGTTTACTTAACGTTAGAAATTTGGTAAAAGGTAGGCATTTTTATCCTAATTTGCTAGTTGGATCGGTTTTGTTTTCTGTTCCAGATTTCGGTTTGTATTTGGTTTGGTAACGGTTTGCAAATAACCTGTGATCGACATCACTTGTCAGAACAGTTCAAATTAGGCCCGGTCAGACAGATTAGACTGAAAATAACCAATACTTTGTCAAGGTCAGAAGTCAGAACAGACCGGACTGGTCAATGTCACATATCACGAAAATCAATTAAAACAGAGAAAACACAGACAGGTTACGAAACACAACTGAAAAGCCAGAGGAATTAGACAGGTCAGGTCGGTGACCGAAATGGGTACCTACTAAAGCGCTGAACGCCTCCAGATGTATGTAAAATGCGGGAAAGTCGGGTCAAGTCTGAACAATCAGTGGGAGTGACAGCGACAGTTGCAAATAGACGAACGGGCTGACAGACAGACAGACAGACAGACAGACAGACAGACAGACAGACCTCACTCCTCTTCTGACTGATCTGTGCTGCCGCCTCGTGTACCGGTATGACACATTGTACTGGTACTAACTAACCTGTGCTGCCGCCTCGTGTACCGGTATGACACATTGTACTCGTACTAACTAACCTGTGCTGCCGCCTCGTGTACCGGTATGACACATTGTACTCGTACTAACTAGCCTGTGCTGCTGCCTCGTGTACCGGTATGACACATTGTACTCGTACTAACTAACCTGTGCTGCCGCCTCGTGTACCGGTATGACACATTGTACTCGTACTATCTAACCTGTGCTGCCGCCTCGTGTACAGGTATGACACATTGTACTCGTACTAACTAACCTGTGCTGCCGCCTCGTGTACCGGTATGACACATTGCACTCGTACTTACTGACCTGTGCTGCCGCCTCGTGTACCGGTATGACACATTGTACTCGTACTAACTAACCTGAGCGGCAGCCTCGTGTACCGGTATGACACATTGTACTCGTACTAACTAACCTGTGCTGCCGCCTCGTGTACCGGTATGACACATTGTACTCGTACTAACTGACCTGTGCTGCCGCCTCGTGTACCGGTATGACATATTGCACTCGTACTAACTAACCTGTGTTGCCGCCTCGTGTACCGGTATGACACATTGTACTCGTACTAACTAACCTGTGCTGCCGCCTCGTGTACCGGTATGACACATTGTACTCGTACTAACTGACCTGTGCTGCCGCCTCGTGTACCGGTATGACACATTGTACTCGTACTAACTAACCTGTGCTGCCGCCTCGTGTACCGGTATGACACATTGTACTCGTACTAACTAACCTGTGCTGCCGCCTCGTGTACAGGTATGCCACATTGCACTCGTACTAACTAACCTGTGCTGCCGCCTCGTGACCCGGTATGACACAATGTACTCGTACTAACTAACCTGTGCTGCCGCCTCGTGTACCGGTATGACACATTGTACTCGTACTAACTAACCTGTGCTGCCGCCTCGTGTACCGGTATGACATATTGCACTCGTACTAACTAACCTGTGTTGCCGCCTCGTGTACCGGTATGACACATTGCACTCGTACTAACTAACCTGTGCTGCCGCCTCGTGTACCGGTATGACACACTGTGCTCGTACTAACTAACCTGTGCTGCCGCCTCGTGACCCGGTATGACACAATGTACTCGTACTAACTAACCTGTGCTGCCGCCTCGTGTACCGGTATGACACACTGTACTGGTACTAACTAACCTGTGCTGCCGCCTCGTGTACAGGTATGACACATTGTACTCGTACTAACTAACCTGTGCTGACGCCTCGTGTACTGGTACTGGTACTAACTAACCTGTGCTGCCGCCTCGTGTACCGGTACTGGTACTAACTAACCTGTGCTGCCGCCTCGTGTACCGGTATGACACACTGTGCTCGTACTAACTAACCTGTGCTGCCGCCTCGTGACCCGGTATGACACAATGTACTCGTACTAACTAACCTGTGCTGCCGCCTCGTGTACCGGTATGACACATTGTACTCGTACTAACTAACCTGTGCTGCCGCCTCGTGTACCGGTATGACACATTGTACTCGTACTAACTAACCTGTGTTGCCGCCTCGTGTACCGGTATGACGCATTGTACTCGTACTAACTAACCTGTGCTGCCGCCTCGTGTACCGGTATGACACACTGTGCTCGTACTAACTAACCTGTGCTGACGCCTCGTGTACTGGTATGACACATTGTACTCGTACTAACTGACCTGTGCTGCCGCCTCGTGTACCGGTATGACACATTGTACTCGTACTAACTAGCCTGTGCTGCCGCCTCGTGTACCGGTATGACACATTGTACTGGTACTAACTAACCTGTGCTGCCGCCTCGTGTACCGGTATGACACATTGTACTCGTACTAACTAGCCTGTGCTGCCGTCACGTGTACCGATATGACACATTGTACTCGTACTAACTAACCTGTGCTGCCGCCTCGTGTACCGGTATGACACATTGTACCTACTGGTACTAACTAACCTGTGCTGCCGCCTCGTGTACCGGTATGACACATTGTACTCGTACTAACTAACCTGTGCTGCCGCCTCGTGTACCGGTATGACACATTGTACTCGTACTAACTAACCTGTGCTGCCGCCTCGTGTACCGGTATGACACATTGTACTCGTACTAACTAACCTGTGCTGCCGCCTCGTGTACCGGTATGACATACTGTGCTCGTACTTACTAACCTGTGCTGCCGCCTCGTGTACAGGTATGACACATTGTACTCGTACTTACTAACCTGTGCTGCCGCCTCGTGACCCGGTATGACACAATGTACTCGTACTAACTAACCTGTGCTGCCGCCTCGTGTACCGGTATGACACATTGTACTCGTACTAACTAATCTGTGCTGCCGCCTCGTGTACCGGTATGACACATTGTACTCTTACTAACTAACCTGTGCTGCCGCCTCGTGTACAGGTATGACACATTGTACTCGTACTTACTAACCTGTGCTGACGCCTCGTGTACTGGTACTGGTACTAACTAACCTGTGCTGCCGCCTCGTGTACCGGTACTGGTACTAACTAACCTGTGCTGCCGCCTCGTGTACTGGTCTGACACATTGTACTCGTACTAACTAACCTGTGCTGCCGCCTCGTGTACCGGTATGACACATTGTACTCGTACTAACTAACCTGTGCTGACGCCTCGTGTACTGGTACTGGTACTAACTAACCTGTGCTGCCGCCTCGTGTACCGGTACTGGTACTAACTAACCTGTGCTACCGCCTCGTGCACCGGTATGACACATTGTACTCGTACTAACTAACCTGTGCTGCCGCCTCGTGCACCGGTATGACACATTGTACTCGTACTAACTAACCTGTGCTGCCGCCTCATGTACCGGTACTGGTGCTAACTAACCTGTGCTGCCGCCTCGTGTACCGGTATGACACATTGTACTCGTACTAACTAACCTGTGCTGCCGCCTCGTGTACCGGTATGACACATTGTACTCGTACTAACTAACCTGTGCTGCCGCCTCGTGTACAGGTATGACACATTGTACTCGTACTTACTAACCTGTGCTGCCGCCTCGTGACCCGGTATGACACAATGTACTCGTACTAACTAACCTGTGCTGCCGCCTCGTGTACAGGTATGACACATTGTACTCGTACTTACTAACCTGTGCTGCCGCCTCGTGACCCGGTATGACACAATGTACTCGTACTAACTAACCTGTGCTGCCGCCTCGTGTACCGGTATGACACATTGTACTCGTACTAACTAATCTGTGCTGCCGCCTCGTGTACCGGTATGACACATTGTACTCGTACTAACTAACCTGTGCTGCCGCCTCGTGTACAGGTATGACACATTGTACTCGTACTTACTAACCTGTGCTGCCGCCTCGTGACCCGGTATGACACAATGTACTCGTACTAACTAACCTGTGCTGCCGCCTCGTGTACCGGTATGACACATTGTACTCGTACTAACTAACCTGTGCTGCCGCCTCGTGTACCGGTATGACACATTGTACTCTTACTAACTAACCTGTGCTGCCGCCTCGTGTACAGGTATGACACATTGTACTCGTACTTACTAACCTGTGCTGACGCCTCGTGTACTGGTACTGGTACTAACTAACCTGTGCTGCCGCCTCGTGTACCGGTACTGGTACTAACTAACCTGTGCTGCCGCCTCGTGTACTGGTCTGACACATTGTACTCGTACTAACTGACCTGTGCTGCCGCCTCGTGTACCGGTATGACACATTGTACTCGTACTAACTAACCTGTGCTGACGCCTCGTGTACTGGTACTGGTACTAACTAACCTGTGCTGCCGCCTCGTGTACCGGTACTGGTACTAACTAACCTGTGCTGCCGCCTCGTGCACCGGTATGACACATTGTACTCGTACTAACTAACCTGTGCTGCCGCCTCGTGCACCGGTATGACACATTGTACTCGTACTAACTAACCTGTGCTGCCGCCTCGTGCACCAGTATGACACATTGTACTCGTACTAACTAACCTGTGCTGCCGCCTCGTGTACCGGTACTGGTGCTAACTAACCTGTGCTGCCGCCTCGTGTACCGGTATGACACATTGTACTCGTACTAACTAACCTGTGCTGCCGCCTCGTGTACCGGTACTGGTACTAACTAACCTGTGCTGCCGCCTCGTGTACCGGTATGACACATTGTACTCGTACTAACTAACCTGTGCTGCCGCCTCGCGGTATGACACATTGTACTCGTACTAACTAACCTGTGCTGCCGCCTCGTGTACCGGTATGACGTGTTTGACATTTTGCTGCTGTGGGGCCCGGCAGGCCGTCGTATAGGCGGTCGACGCGTTCATCGTTTTACTGTGAACAGATACAAATATTCGTGTTCAGCCTCTGAACAGACAAAATGATGATATTGAGTCAAAAGTGTAATCGCTGAAGGCGTTTATATTTAGCCTGTAGACAGACAAGTGTGCAGACTTTGCCTGCGTCTGTGATGTCCGCTCTTATTTAGCCGCCAGCCACCCTTGTTTCGGGGTATTCAGCCAGTAGTGGTGAAGACGACGGAGCGCAGCTACCGCTGGTAGCTGGGGCTAACACGCATATGAAGCGAGGAGTACGAGTAGGTTCGGTAGGAACCGGGGGCGTCGCCACGGTCCCCAAAATTGTACGGACACATTCCGTAGGCCAACGAGTTCTTTAAAATGGCAATCTCCGATTTTCCATAAAATGCGTTATTCACCCCAAAAATTCAAAAAACTATATTTTTTGGAAAACAGCTAATAATATCCAAAATTTTGGGAATTTCCAAAAAAACCGGATATATGTTGTAGAGCTCTATTAGAACATTAGATGCCCCAAATTTCAACTTTCTATCTTGATTGTTGACCCCCAAATTGTAAAAAATAGCTTCAACATGCATAGGGCATGGTGACGTCATAAGCATTTTCGTGAATTAGAGGCACTTTTGAACATCGCAAGTGAAAACAAATGGCACCACTAGATTCTTGGGACAAAGCTCGTCTAGAAAAGTGTATTTTTATGTCAAAAATAAAAAGTTGAAAAATGGACTTTTTTTCTTAGCCCTCGTTTAGTTATGTATGGTATAAACGATTTTTTATGTTTTCAATGCACACTTATCACCAGCACAGTGACTTGGGGTCATATATAACCATTACCATCGGATTCGGCGTGAAAAATAAGCCATAAAACATGTGTCGCACGCCCATGTATCAGAAATTGAAAACCGTGACCTTTCGTGACCTGACCTGACCTTGACCCGTGCTTAGTATGACCCCTATACGCACATGGTACAGTCCACAGCAGAAGTAATGTGGGGTTTCAGTCATGGGTATGTTCTGCTTCTGAAGCTTAGGAACGATTAGCCAGACTACAATGAAACTTTGAATGTAGCTTATATGTATCGTCACCCTTGCAGCTGCAACTTTAGCTATTGACATCTTCTTTTCAATCACTTCGCATTAAACAATCGCCAGTCAAAGCCAACCGTTGAGTTTGGTAAAACCCTACATTACTTTAGCGGTGGGCTGTACCTTCACTAGGCCTTTGAGGTCATTTTTGGTGAGTTTCGAGTAGCAGCTATCGATTCCGCTGTCCGTAAGCCTAATCATGCAAAACCCCTGAATTTGACCTTTGACCTGACCTTGACCCGAAAGTTGACCTCAATCTGAAAATCTTAAGAGTGCTTTGGGAAGGTCTCGTAGAGACCTTTCGAACGCCGCCTCGCGGGGCTCGATACGACCATTGGTTCTTGAGATAACAGGGGGGGGGGGGGTCGGATCCGCCCCCCCCCCCCCAGGCTGTCGTGAGTACGGAAATAGCCCAGGCGGTGCCGGGTTAAACCAAAGCTGTCAAAGTATAGCTGAAACTTAGTTATAAATCAGCTGACATATTTCGTCATGGTGGTATTTCCGACAGAGGGTCGTCGTATGCGCAGCAAAAAATAAATAAGATCCGTTCAAACTTCTGACGAAGCACGTCAATAAATGTGCAATTTTTCGCACAAAAAGCCGTAAACTTGAAGTCAGTTTTCTACAACTGAGCGGAATACTAAGTGGTCATGAAACATTTTTTTTTTGTTATTTTAGAAGAAACAAGCTGCTGCGCCACTTGCTTTGCTGCGTGGTCATAAAATGCGGCACCAGCCAATTTGCTTTCGAATGGTGTTCGATTCATGCCGATGTGTCGTCTAGAGGCAGAGATATGGACGGAAACGTGAAGAGGAAAATCTTGAACTTGAGGACTGCTCGGAGGACTCTGATAAGTGAAATGTCGGTGATTCGGGGTCAAGTCGGGTCAACGTCAACCGTCTCGAAACGGCGTTTCGAGACGTAGATAACAATATCGCTAGTGTAGTTAACCTTCGCGCATGTAGGGGTTTGCTGCAACCCCCCCCCCCCCCGAGGTTTTTCTTAGCTACACGCCGAACCGTTTCAGATAGCCTGCTCAAATTTTCAGTACCCTCTGGGGCATCCTTTGCGTAACTTTTGGTATTTCTTTTGTCAAGGTCATGTCAGGTCACGGAGTTATGACGTCATAAAGGGAACAACCTCCGGCCAGATTTACGCCAAATTGGAGATTGCTTCACATTGGTATAAATGCCGACTGACCTGACACACTGATGGATTGTTTTAGAATCGCAACTGGCTGATTTGACATTGGCACAATGTCCGTTGACATTTTGAAGGTTACTAAAGGTCAAGGTAAGGTCAGTGACCTCGGTTGACCTGTAATGACTTCTTGCACTTGTATGCCTTTTCGGGGTATTTTGATGCCATGAATTCGAATTAGCTATCCATTTCAGGCATTGTCGGTTGTTTCTTGTAGTTCATTTTGGGTCAGGGTCAGGTCAGTGACGTCACACGCCTGACGTGACCCAATGCAAAAATGACCTTGCAGACTTCCGATGCTCCCAACGCATCATTTTTAGAGTTATGACATCGAAATACACACCAAACGATAGAGAATTGATCAAGGATCACGATAGTGAAGATTTCAATTCGATATCTCTTACCGTTTTGCCGGAAACGGCGCAGAAATCTGAAAAAGTTAGATTTTTTTTTTCGAAACTTTGACCTTTGACCGGTCATAAGTAGGTTAAATGATGACCTAGGACCAAAAAATATACCACCAATCGCGAGATCTCGTTGAGAGCAATCCGTTGGTCTTTTCCGCTAAGCTTTACGATGCTCCGTTTTCAAACGCCAGGGGGGGATCGCACCAACCCCCTCCCCCCTGCATGGGCGAAGGTGGCAAAACACCGTTTACGGGCGAGGGTTAACCCCTTTGACGATTGTGATGATTTGCGTCTTTTCATGTCCTTAATTTGCAATTTGCTTTAAACCCTGATTTTTGGCGATTTTTTAAACATTTACCACTTTTTGACTAAAAACGCCATGTAGTTACATCACTAAAGTCTATATATCTAAAAAAAAATCGATTTTTTTTTCTTAAAAATTGCACAGGAGACGTCAAAGTGATGGGGGAGAAGGTACGCCAAGTTTCAAGTAGATAGCGAAAGTGGTTCATGAGTTATTCAATAAAAACGGAGGGGGGTCGGATCCGACCCCCCCTCCCCAGGCGGTCGCGGGTTAACTGGTTTGAGTTGCTGAATCATGATTAGGCGGATTGAATGATAAGCTCTCAACTGAAATTTGTCTGTGAAATTAATGGCCCACAATATCCGAGCCGGTAGCCGTAACGTCTCGCTGCGATCTGACGTCACTTCTGACCTGGTCGCCATGGCCAGCGTCTCGTCGTCCGACGTGAATGACGTCATGTCTGGTCTAGTGGCCTCGTTTTCTAGCTGGGTCTCGTTTCATAAAGTGAGTCCGTAACTTGCGCCGGTTTTTGGTATTGTATTGCGTTGAATTTATTTGCCTTGCAAGCAAGAACAGAAGGGAGAAGGGCAAATAAATGTATCGCTTCACATGCGCTTGCAATACAAGCCCAAAAACTGGCGTAAGTTACGGACTCGCTTTATGAAACGAGGCCCAGGTCTGAAGCCTGATCCAACCCCGTCTACTCTCGCTCTTCCAGTTAGACCTTTCTGTTTCTGTTTTATGCTATTTCAACATGGTTTACCAGCAACCGCTGTTTCCGTTTTGATGATCCATTTCTAGCACATGTCTTCTACAAGTACTACTGGCCCTTTCCCGTCACCTTCCAGTTACCCTGAGTTCTGACTCCTTTCCTCTCTTGCCGTCCCTCCCCAGCTGCCCTCTGTCCTGACTGGTGACCCCTCCCCGGCCCCTCCCACCGGCAGTCTGGCCGTCCGACTCCCCCTCCGCCCTTCCCCTTCCCCCCGGTCGGTCTGGATATTCTGCCCGCGGCCAGTGGTTCTGGAGCCCCCTCGCTGAATGTCTGACCTCAAAAATAGCCCGCGGCGTGCCAAACGGTCGAGTGAGCCGACAGAGGCGGATCGAGGTCAGCTTCTGAGGGGAGGTCCTCCACGCAAAATCCCACAACAGTAATCAAACATAGGAAAGTAAATGATGGGTAACTTAGTCTCAAGTACAAATGCGACCTGTTTGGCTAACTGCCCTCCCTGTTTGAGCTCCTGGAGTCGCCTCTGTCGCTCGAAGGAGGCGGTCTGGAATCCACCTCGGACCGCCCCGAACAATAACACCGCCCGCCGACCTAGCTGAACTCCGCGGCGTGGTGATGTGTTGACACGGGCTCACATGAACACCCGTCTGGGGTGTCCGAGCGCCTTGGGCTGACGACAAGGTAACACTCAGTGACACAGTTTTTGTTAGCTGAGGTTACCGGTTCACACCGCGCTGTGGTAGCGTTACGCACGAAATTAAAACACGGAGAGGGGACGATAGGCCAGGTGATGGCTAATTTGATCGGGTAAAAACGGAAATTGTTTGGATAAAGAGCGGCCAAGGCCACCTGTTAGTCAGGGTTCGGTTACTGTGATAGCTCACTTGTGATATATCTGCTAGTAGAGTTAGCAATGATATGTCGATGACCTGTATGATTCATGGTATGCATATGCAGACATATCCAGAGTTCCTACAAAGTGAACTTCACCCGCGCACCGACGGGGGTCTGCGCCAACTTCGCACCGACGGGGGGGGGGGGCGGATGACCGTCCCCCCCTGAGATCTCGAGAACGAAGCAAGATAGCGACAAGCGGTAAACGGCATCGGATACGCACGGTCAAGATCTACAATTTTTACAAAGATCATTTTCAGGTCAGGTCAAAGATGACGTCACAGGGGTCGAAAAAGTCAAAATGGCGGCGCTAGATATGGAGAGAGTTTTTCTCGAATAACTTTCGAATTAGTCAAGATAGGAACAAACTAAGGGCATCAGTCACGATGTTAGTGTTTATTGAAGCTTGCGATGTTCACCGATGATAACATTATACCGTCACCGCAGCCTAAAGTGGAGGCAAGTTGACCCACTATGTTAATTCCTTGCATTACTTGATGAGGTATTCCTATTGGTGTTATCCGAGCCAGTTCTACCTCGCCCACTTCCTGACATAGACTTCCATCCACCCCTCCCCCTCCATGGTCCCTGCCAACCAGCGCGGTCCGCGACTGGGATGGTCTCCACTCCCCGCATCTCGTAGACAATACTTCGGTGTGTACCTACCTTTTATAGGTAGGTATATGATTAGGATGGATGGTCCTGCAGTCGTTCTGCACCTGGTGAAAATCCTGGCAGCTTTCTCGTTTGTTACTGATATGCACGTATGCAGGTCAATTACGACAATTTATTTTTAGGACATGGCGCCTTACAGAGCTTTACCAACTGGCAACAGAATACATGTCCTTTTCCATTGGTTGGGCAAGTTGGTGCTGGGAGTGGTTGCTAAGGATACACGTACGGGGACCCACAGTTGCTACTGTATACGTAACCCCAACTCTAGCCGTCTGTCCTGTCCAGAAACAACCGATAACATTGATATCGACTGCCGGTCCCTGTACAAGAGCATGGCTGGGGTTTTCTGTGCGTGTCATCTGACAGCTTATCGCTGTTCCCTGTGAGGGTGCTGGGACAATTTCCTCAGGGTCGCTGTACAGTAGCAACTGCGGGTTCCCGTACACTCATCAAAATCGGGTCATTTCACTCCAAATTAATTATTCTTGTAGACGGCTAATTTAGATCCAACGATCTATAAGCCCTATATGATGACCATTGACCACTCTGTATCGGTGTCCTAATGGCTTATCAGGTTGTCAGTCGGCACTCGTAGCACCAGTACAGTGGATATTTCTTTGGTGCAACGCCATATGCGATATGGTATTTATGGTCCGGTGTTTCACAGCCAACGATGCACCATTTATACGGGCTAAAGCCCAGATCATAACGAGAAACATCCATCGATAATCAGATGACGACCTGGCTGTTTGTATTTATCTATGTTCCAAGGCAATGGCAGAATAAACGATATCAACAACGATTTGCAGCTGCTTTGTTTCTGAGACAAATAAAATTGATAGCTTTTTTTATAGTACTGCCGGTAATAAAAGAAGCTGCTGCATTTGCATACCTACTTGATATGATGGAGGAACGTCAAAGAAAAGACTATCACATTTCACAAATGTTGCTAAATGCATAATTCATCAAACATATTTGCATTATAAACTTTTACAATCGTCACCATACCTTTACAAACTGTCTATTTTTGTCGATAAACTCATGTTTGGCTAGCCAAGAGTGACTGAAAAAAATGAAGCATAAGAAAATAAACATATCACAGCAACGTTCCATTTAGCTCCAAATTTTCCCTCGAGCAGCTCACCCCAAATAGGGCCTGTCTCGTTCGGTCCATTAATTAAGTAAAAGGTGTTCCCGCAACCCCTTCATTGCTTAGCAGCATTTGTGTGTGTAAAATTCCGCACCAATGACAGTCGAGAGGAGCTGCTCACTGCAGTGAGTAACAGCCGATTGAGGTACTGAGCTGCTGCAAGCCGATGGAATGCTAGGGCCGATAAGAAGCGTTGCTTTGCATTTACAGATAGGTTTGCAACATTTCCTGACATGCCAAGGCGCACTTTAATATGAGTCGCAGTCTAAATATGCGAATTTTAGCAAAAAAAAAAAAACACACACACACGAATCTCCATTTCCATTATCTCTTTCCTTTCTCTCTATATCTCTTTTGCTTCATCTCTCGCTCTCCCTCTCCATCCTTTCCCACCTCTCTCTCTCTCTCTCTCTCTCTCTCTCTCTCTCTCTCTCTCTCTCTCTCTCTCTCTCTCTCTCTCTCTCTCTCTCTCTCTCTCTCTCTCTCTTCCCCCTTCCTTACCTTGTAGTATTGTCCGTCCTCTGAGTCCACAGTCCGTCCACTCCTCACTCTCGCTCAGCGGCAGCCCGACTCTCCCCGCCCTCTCGGTCCGACGCGGCTCGACTCTCTCTTCGTCGGTAAAGTCGACACCGACGAGCAGCACGGTGAGTGAATCAGCCGTCTGACAGCGGGTGAATCAGCCGTCTGACAGCGGATGGAGAGTTCCAAACAAAACACCGAGTGTCGGCCCACACCCACCGCCCTGCCGACCTGCCGACCACCGACCACCGCCTGCCGACCTGCCGAATACCGCCCACCGCCCACCGGCCACAGACCTGCCGACCGGCCAGCCGGACAGCCGCTCACTCCAATAGCCCCTAGCCGGCATAATCGCCATCCTCTGTACACACACTGCTCGGGGTTACATGAGCAGAGTTATTAATACGCATTACAAACGGACTACAATGGTGAGCGAATAGGAAAATCCGTTCCTGATACGCATTTACTTGCTCATGTAACCCCGGTAACTGGCAACTGCAGCACCGACTGCACCGACTGCAGCTTGACCGGCAGACCGGCCGGCCATCTTACCGAGCATCGACCACCAGCCACCGACCGAAGCTGCCAACCAGCCACTGGATGCTGGCAAATTCTGAAGTCACGTGTTATTTTTATCAACCTTCGATTGGAAATGTCAAGTTGCATGAAAGAGATGACCTCAGGCGCATTTGGGAGAAGCAAAATGTAAGGCAAAAGATAAATATCTTAGAGAGGAATGATACATTTTGCACTTTTTAAGAGTTGGATCATTTTGGGCAATGCTATCTTACACGGTATAAGTATGATGAGAATTTGCATTTTCTGAACGCGCATGAATGAAAGCATGGCACTATATCCTTCGCCCCAGTGTGTGTGGGGGGGGGCATGTGTTACCACCCTGTCGCGTTTTTTGCGTGTGAATAAAAAACCGCGGCGCGTAGCGGCGCGCCGCTTGGAGTAGCTTTTTTGTACATCAACTTTGGACAATGTGTGAAATTTTTAACCCAGGTCATGTCAGGTCAGGTCACCAGGTCAAGTTAACTGACCAAACCTAAAAAAAGTTTGCAATCATGTCCAGCCTGCAGTGTTTGTCAGAAAGGTTTCAAACTTGGTGGATTGCATGATGTTATGGACGCGTACAATTTGTATATCTCGGATTTTTGATGTCCGTGACCTGAGGTCAGGTCAGTGGCGTGGCCTTACCGTCAATGGAGAAAAATGAAAATGCCTCTAGATCCGTGTGTACGGATAGGAACAGTCCAAATACACGTATTTCAGAATCACAATGATTTGGACCACCCGTGACGACCAAGGTGCCTTTTTTGCTGAAAGCCTCTAGAAAGGTCATCCGAGGTCATTTGAGGCTACAAACAGTTTGTTTGCCAATAACTCTCGATTGAAAAGACAGGACGCTGGGGATGGTCTCATTGTGTTTGTCTTGTTGAGACGCATCGACTGATATGCAACATGACCTTTTCCGGTCAGGTCATGACCTTGACCTGAGGTCAAATTTTCAAATTGACCTTTCAAGGTCAAATTATAGTTCAATCGACGCGTCTCGGCGAGAGGAACACGACTATGGCAATATAAATGTTTTGGCTTTTGGGGCATTCCACGATAGATCGACCAAAAAAAAATTAAATTGACACCCTCATATTTTATTTTTCGCTCAAAATTGGTGTATAGGGTAGAAATGGGCGGGAAAGCCAGCTGTGGCAAGGATAATTTTTTTTGACCTACAGTTTTCGAGATATAGCCTCGGGCAATTCCTGGAGGTCACGCAGCAACCCTATGTTTGGCGGCTCATAACTCAGAAACTATTGATTTTTGTATAAGGATAACTTTATGTCTTCCAACTCAAAATTAACCAAGAAAACTTTTGGCTATCTCGGATTTTCGATTTTCGAAAATTTTGGTCACGTGACCTCTTGACCTATTTTTTGAAGAGTGACCTTGACACTTTCCCACCTGAAAGTTAAAATTTGGTCTGATGACGATTCAAGCCTTATCAATGGTCGTTCATATGCGACAATAAAAAACATGGCTATCGGCCTGCATTGACCTCAGGTCAGGTCATCTTTGTGACCTGCCCATTATAAGTCAATGGCAAAAGTACCGGCTAGGCCACTAAAACGCATCGGACTGGTACAGTTACTTCATAGTCATACCATATTAGGTTATTATTGATCACTCTGGTGCAATTTTGCATCAGTGACCCGCGGAAAGGTCATCCGAGGTCACATTATGACTCACGACATTCATATGCCTTTTATGTCTATATCTTTTGATAGAATAGGTATAGGGATTTGGGAAACACATCAATTAGTTCACTTTGGCCAGGCGCATCATGCCATACGCAGCCTTATATGTTAAGGTCATTTCGTGACCTTGACCTAGGGTCAAATTTTGGTCAAATTTCATATTTGACCTTTCGAAATAAAAACTTATACAATTCGATCCGACTGGAAAAAGCAAACACGATAGCGCTATTTTATACATCTGACTTCATAAACATAATAAGATATTGGCGAAAAACGTTTTTATTCCGTGAAAAAATGTTTATTTTCAGCCAGATTAAATAACAATATTTTGGCGTGGTAAAGGCATTCGAGGTGCATAGACACGTTGGCGTAAGTACTTGTACCTAAGCAATTCACGCTCATATGACTCGGTGTTGCGGTCATTTCTACAGGTACCAATCTAAAAAAAAATAGCATAGGTAGATATGTGATGATCAGCAGTTTCGTACATTTGGCATGAATAATAATCACTCACATAAATCACTCACAAGCTCGCTTCGCCAGGGCCAAAACTGTGAAGGGGACGAGACAGTACCACAGATTCTGTCCAGCTGACCTGACCACAGTCCGCGTCCACGAGCTTTCAGAAGATCGGGAGGGCAAGGAAGTCAAAGTGTCTTAGATAAGCACATACAAAGTAGACGAGTTTGGAAAGTTGCACTGTTGGATCGGACCAATGTTGTGTTGTGTTGTTGTGAATATGTTGTCGGTTTGCTGTGTGCCGTGCGTGCCGATTAGGGTGTACATAGGAAAATGTTTTGTGTGAGTGATTATTATTCATGCCAAATGTACGAAACTGCTGATCATCACATATCTACCTATGCTATTTTTTTTAGATTGGTACCTGTAGAAATGACCGCAACACCGAGTCATATGAGCGTGAATTGCTTAGGTACAAGTACTTACGCCAACGTGTCTATGCACCTCGAATGCCTTTACCACGCCAAAATATTGTTATTTAATCTGGCTGGAAATAAACATTTTTCACGGAATAAAAACGTTTTTCGCCAATATCTTATTATGTTTATGAAGTCAGATGTATAAAATAGCGCCATCGTGTTTGCTTTTTCCAGTCGGATCGAATTGTATAAGTTTTTATTTCGAAAGGTCAAATATGAAATTTGACCAAAATTTGACCCTAGGTCAAGGTCACGAAATGACCTTAACATATAAGGCTGCGTATGGCATGATGCGCCTGGCCAAAGTGAACTAATTGATGTGTTTCCCAAATCCCTATACCTATTCTATCAAAAGATATAGACATAAAAGGCATATGAATGTCGTGAGTCATAATGTGACCTCGGATGACCTTTCCGCGGGTCACTGATGCAAAATTGCACCAGAGTGATCAATAATAACCTAATATGGTATGATTATGAAGTAACTGTACCAGTCCGATGCGTTTTAGTGGCCTAGCCGGTACTTTTGCCATTGACTTATAATGGGCAGGTCACAAAGATGACCTGACCTGAGGTCAATGCAGGCCGATAGCCATGTTTTTTATTGTCGCATATGAACGACCATTGATAAGGCTTGAATCGTCATCAGACCAAATTTTAACTTTCAGGTGGGAAAGTGTCAAGGTCACTCTTCAAAAAATAGGTCAAGAGGTCACGTGACCAAAATTTTCGAAAATCGAAAATCCGAGATAGCCAAAAGTTTCCTTGGTTGATTTTGAGTTGGAAGACATAAAGTTATCCTTATACAAAAGTCAATAGTTTTTGAGTTATGAGCCGCCAAACATAGGGTTGAAGCGTGACCTCCAGAAATTGCCCGAGGCTATATCTCGTTAACCGTTCGTCGAAAAAAAAATCATCGCCACAGCTGGCTTTCCGGCCCAAAACAACCCCCTAGACGAATGTTGAGCGAAAAATAAAATATGAGGGTGCACAGCTTTGGTCGATCTATCGTGGAATGCCCCTTTTCTTAGTCAAAAGTTATTGTCGAAAAACCCATTTCGTAAAAACAGCTATTTTTGGAGTTTTTGCCCTCTGGCTGGAGGCTAAACCGTTGACCTAAGGTCAAATTTGATAATATCCTTATCAAAAGAAGAGTTCAAAAGCTATCGATTGATTTTCCATGCATTTTCCAAGCAATCATAGTTCCTGAGATATATGCATGTTTTCTGAGAAATATAATGACATTTGGCAAATTGTGACCTTTGATGACCTCCAGTGACCCCCAATATTGCTCTAAGATGAAAAATGACCGAGATACTTTCAAACGGACGCATTAAGAGCTATCGACTGCTTTTTACCGCGTCTTTCTACCCCTCTTAGTTTTTGAGTCAGAGGTGGGTGGTAACATATATGCCCCCCATTAGGGCGAAGTTGGCTGAGACCGCCACTGGGACGCGGGTTATGTTTGAGGTCAGTGACCTGAATTGAACATGACATACAGTTGAGAAAATAACTGGTAAAAAAAAGTTCAGGTGCGCCTAGTTTCAGCTCTTTTTTATTGTGTGTTTTGGGTTATCACCAAAAAAATGAAAAAACGAAAACAACACCCTTAATGTTAGGTAACATTTACCCTAAAATAAGTTCTTAATGCCATTCACGACACAACTCTCCCCATTGTTTGGCTGTCTGACCAGGGTGACGAATGGTTATGTGTCCAGCGTTTGTGCTGCATCTTTTCCTCGTCCTCTCGTGCGCAGTGATGATGTGTAAATTGTAAAACCGCGTGGTGTCTCTTTTGTGAGTGAAAAAAGTCATTAGATGTGAGTGCAACCGCGTGGTATCTTACTTGCTCAAGTAAGCAAGCCCTTTTATAAAAAAAACTATTCGTATCCCAAATCTTATCACAAAACGCATAATCTAGCATATCATGTTATAACCTCAATATAGCTTATTGCGTCATATTTTTAGGGTGGTCTTATGCAACACAGATTCGGGTTTGTGACACAGCACCAAAAGTGACCAGACATAAGCTGTATTTTACTCGTAATAAAATTCACATATCCATGTATGTAATTGTATACTGCAACCGCTATCAAAGTCAGCAATGAGCAAAGTAAATCTACTGATTCCCAGCTTCGATA